CGATCTTACGAAATCTTAACGTTTCTGTTTGCAGCTCTTGAATTAAGAAATAAAAAGCAATGGCCATGAAAGCCACCACTTTACTTCTTGAAGCGAGCATGGTTTTAGAATTTCCCGCCAGTTCGATTTCATGACGTAAATAATGCAGATAGCGGGAGTGTTGACAGATCAACTTGAGTTATTTGAGCTAGTGTAAACACTGGACGAATGTACCAAGGTCAAGTAACTTGACCTTAGTAAATTTTTACCTTGGTAAAAGCTCAAATGTAAACACAGGGTTAGTCAGTTAATGTTTACAATGGTAAACGCTTTAGTGTAAACACGGGGTTAGTAAGCTGGAAATCATCAGTGATTGCGGTAAATAGGATGGGGCAAGAAAATAGTAAAGCGAGTTTTTAATTAACCCCTTTGACAAAGTATATCATTACATTTTTCGTTAATACTACTTGTTCTTTGTATGACCCCCTTGGAAGTGGACATGTTTGTGGAGATGGAGGATGGGATGGATTACCGCCCTGATAAATCGGAGGAAGGTATAGATTACCTCCCTGATAGACCGGTTTGACTAACATCACTAATAATTAGAGTATTTTCGTGGCTTGAGGATAAAGTGTCTTACTGAAAAATATGCCTGAAAATGCATCTCTTTAACCATTTGTCCAATAATCAAGTACTGATTACAGAAGGGGTAAAAATCTTCACTTTTCTCTACATTCTTCAGGCTTTTTTTTTAGCACTGTTTTAAGTTCCAGAAAACTAGATTACAGATTTCCATGTGGATTTTTCATTTATGTCGTTAAAAGAGAACTAAATACTCAATGCATCATTGGGATATTTTTTAGAACCGTCTCTCGTTACGATGACTTACAAGGCAGGCTAAACACTTTCCAATGGCCGTTTTCACACTAGAGGACGGACAAATCATCTGGACGAACAAATCGTCTGATGTGAAAACGGGACGAACAAATCGTCTGATATTTGGCCGTCTGGAAAGACGATTTTTTTAAGACGATTTGTCCGTCGAGACGAACAAGTCGACAACAGTATGACTTAAATTCAAAGCAGACGGTGGAATGTTCGATTTTCTAGCCGCGAAGAAATGGGACTAGCAACAGAGCGAGGTTTTATGGGAAGTTTCAACATGGCGGCAGCCATCTTGCTTTACAACACGACCAAGTGCCAGTTATCTTTGCGCTCATAGGACCGACAACTTTTTGGCATAAGGCCTTCTCGAATTCAAATTCGACAAACAAATGCCAGACGATTTGTCCGTCCCCTAGAGTGAAAACGGCCAATAAATTTTCTTTTGCTAAATAATACCAGAAATGACTCAGATCAGACCCACTAGTATGGGTGTTTAGTAAAGACATGAAAATCTAGCTGAATGATGACAAAATATGCCCAAAGGAAACCACCTCCCGGTTAGCTCAATTGATAGAGCGCTGGACTGATGTGTGGGAGGTCAAGGGTTCAAGCTCCTGCTGGACCAACACTCAAGGCCTTAAAATAATTGAGAACATGCTGCCTTTCTATAACATCAAGAAATGGTTTAGATATTCTAGTCTTGGATAGGGACGAATAAATGGAGGTCCTGTCTCCTGCAGGGTTTGGGGTAGGAGACGTTAATTTCCCACGCACAAGATTACTGTGTGATGGATGTCCTCTCCTGGGGTGGGATGGGTGGGTGTTGTCTTGCAATTATATGAGCCTCTGGCTCAAGCAATATGGGCAACCATGCCCCACGCAAAGACATTAAACTTGATTACAGGATTGATTACAGATTCAAAATATGTAGTCAATAGTGACTGTTGCAGCACTTATGATTTCCATGGTAGGAATTGCTTACATTTTTCTCCTTTTTCATAACTTCAATTAATAACTTGACAAAATACATGCATGAACAAATGTCATTTTGTCACAAGGTTTTACTTCCATGGGAATTCCACAGTTCTTTACCAGCTTTTTTTCATGTTAAAGGTCCTAAAGTTTTTCCGAATATGGACCTCCCTGCTGGTAAATAACATTGTTATACACTAATTTTATGTATTTCACATCACAGCAATTCAATGCTCTCTTTCACTCACTTATGATTTTGATAGAATCCTATGGGAAATCTACTTTATTTCTATTTGGATCTCTTTGATGCATTTTAAGGCATGCATATTGAACCTCTGGTTTAAAATTGCAGGTAATTTAGACAATGGAGAAAGCTTATGGCAGGTGATTTCCAACCTGAAATTATTTTACAGCTGAGATATTTCAGCTGTTCTAATTGTCATTGGTGGAACCAGGGCTCAGCACTAACTTTGCAACTTAATAGCTAAGTGGCATGTGACATAAAAAACCACTAGCCAAAACTAAATTTCTACTTGTCTGTGGCTTGTGGGCCACCATTAGTGTGGAGCCCTGAGAACAGCTATGGCTTTTAGCAATAACTGACCACATTACTTGGTAGTGTTCCCCCCAACACTTGCCATTGGTGATCCTGTGTCTGGGAAATAAGTCTGCTGCTGTTGAGTGAGCAATGGCAGTGTTCAATCAACAGGTATGCATAGGAAGTAAATAAATTTAACAGCAGACTGCAGTCCAATGTACATTCTGTTACCATTATGATAACCTGTCTTTGTTAAGGGCTATGCTCCTCTCAATTGGAAGTTTAATATTAATGATACCATTATACATGTATTTACTCTCTACCTTTTGGCACTTATGTTTTATTTAGTGTGCATTCAATAAGGTCAACGGACCCTACTCTTTAAATAACTAGTGCCTGACTACATTTTTCTAGATTTTAAATGAATTGCTTCTGACTATGACATCTGATATCAAATAAATACCTCTTAGAGTGTTTTACACTCCTCTTACCATCGTGTAACAATGCACTGTATGTATCTTCAATGTAAAGTCATTCCACAAAAATTTTGTGTATTGAAAAAAAAGGTTAGTATAATTCTAAAAGCTTATATTTTTTAACAAGGCAAAACAGTTTTTTTCTTTAATTTGTTTACCCCTCTACTCCTAAATTGTGATATCATTCGCCAAGATCTCAGGTTTGAGAGCTGCCACAATGTCTTTAGCACTTGGTCTCTCTTTGGGGTCTTCAGAGGTGCAGCAGTGAAATAACTCCATGAATGGAAGCATTGAATTTGCACTTTGAAACTTGGCGGGTAATGGCGGACGTGTTCCTAATGCTGCTAGGTATTCCTCTGTGTCACAAGCACCACCATCGTCCTCATCATCACTGGTCAGCCCTGTGTCAGATTCTTCGTCACTTTCTAAAAAAATAAAAACAAATCAACAAACAGACAATTGACAAAACACATTATGAACCTCACTGACACCTGAGACATTTAACTCTTTAAAAACTAGGGTGTGGACAAAACTTTTTGAACAAAATCTAGTCCTTTAATTTTCCACACATTTTAAAAGCTATCATTATGATTTTCCAGACTTGCAGCTATGACTCTAGTCACATGGCCTGTGTCAAGAAGTCAGTGTTGAGAGTCAAATGCCCCCAAAATTTCAACATTAGCCAACCATACCAGAAAAAAAAAAAAAAAAACATTCGTCCAAGGTGCCAGTATTCATGTAAATTTGACACCCTCAGAAAAAAAGTTACCAGTGATTCTACATGTACCATCAATAGATTTTGCTACATCTTTCATTTAACCATTTCATCATTGCTTTTTTCTCTGAGGTTCACTTAGTGGTACAGTGTCTCTCTATTATGACAGCCACAAAAAAAAAAACAGTCAATTTCTCTTGGATGAACAATATTTGTGTATGTCAAATTTTAGTATAGGGAGGCAGGAACATTGTAAAGCAATGGTGAGGGTAACAAAACTTAAAGTAAGCTAGCTGGAAGGCGTTATCTTGATAAAACTGTGAAATTCTTTGTTGGTTAATAAGCCAGGATATTTGTCATCTTGGAAAAGTACATGTAAAGAGAGCTGAAGAATCAGAGCTACAACATCATATAAAATTTTCGAGTTTCTGAAGGTGACTTTCTCATTGGTGGGCGCTTAAAGAGATGAAATAGTTTTAACTCAATCAAGTCTGTGAAATGGGCAAGATTTCTGACTCCGCCAAGCTCAATTACACTGTGTAGTTCTTGGATAACTACAGCAATAACGAAACAATAGATAGTAATTGGGACTTACACTACAAGCTTTGTTTAAGAAAAAAAATTTTCCACGGAAAAATGGCAGCAGAGAAAGTAATGAATTTAAGTCTGGCTAACCCTTGGGCCATTCCATTTAATATCCGCACCCCCCCTCCCCTATTGAACAAGACCAACCTGCAAGCAAATCCACATGAGGAACATTCAAAGCTAGCATCTCCCAGATCAGAAGACCATAAGCAAAGATGTCTGCCCTATCTGTGATTACTCCTCCCTTCAAAGCCTCCTTGCATTTCCACGGCTCTGTGCCGATGTATCTACTTCCAGGATTTTTCAGTCCGCTCAGATCATCTTTCAGCCACAGTGCCACTCCAAAATCGCACAATTTGACAGCCTCAAAATCACCTCTTATAAGAACGTTACCACTTTTGATATCGCCATGGAGGATCTTTTTTTCGTTGTGTATATAACTCAAGGCATTGGCAACAGACCAAGAAACTTTTAGGATTTCATCGTAAGTGAAATCTTCTTCCAGATACGCCTTTTCTTCGATGATGTCTTCGAGGGCTCTCTCGCAATCTTCCATTGCAAGGCAAAGATCTCCATTTACACTTCCCGAAATGGCACGAAAACCGACAATATTTGGATGTTTTAGTTGTTTCAAAATACTTGCTTCTAGAGCGAGTCGTTCGCTTATCCCTGATCTTGCCTTCTTGTTGACTTTTTTCACGGCCCAAGGCGATCTAGTGCTGTTATTGCTCGGTTCGCGTTTAAATCGATAAACCGATACACCCGTGCCATGACCGAGTCGTGTCATGAAAGGAGATGGGGGAATCATGAAAGGAGACTCGTTGTAAGGCGACATTTCGACTTCTTCGCATAAGCGACTTCCACATCTTTGGCTCACTGGCGTAGAGAAGTCGTCCATGTTTGAAAAAGACGTGAACAAATGGTCCGAATGCAGTCACGGCAGTAAATCCTGTTAGCTTTCCGCAGTTTTTCAGTTAACACTTGTCAGATTTCAAAATTTCCGCCTTTTCTATTGGTCAGTGCTCCTAATGTTTCATGGGATTGATTCAGACAAAGCCCCCATGTTTATTTTTATCCATTCCAAGATCGACGGATTGTGCAAGGACCTTCTAGACCGAAAAAATTGGTTTGATCCTTCGTTTTGGCCTTTTTTGTCATGTATCAGCGAGAATACAATCAGAGTTACGGCCAGGATGGATCATATAACCAGTATCATGGAAATTATGGAGGCTACAATTCGTACGCGCCTCCTTCACCTCGAATTGTGTTGGATGATTATAACAGTGATCTAAACTTTGTGGTTGATCCTGGTGGTGTGACAGGATCCAGTTTGCACGAGAATGGCTTTGAATATATGTGGGCTGGAGCGAGGGCAACTCACGGTGTGCGGGCTGGCAAGGTACGTACATACATAACACTTGATTTATTTACACATTTTATTAAGGCACAGGACACCCATAAACACTGGCGCTCTGTTGTTTGAGATTTCTAAAATGATTCTGGAAATTCTAAGGTAATGGCTGATCACAGATGAAAATTTAAGTGTGGGTACAGTGGAACCTCGATTTAACGAAGTGCCAAGGGCCTGCAGAAAATTTCCTTGTATTTCTGAGGGGTGTTGAACCATATCTCTTAAATATTATAGGAAATTAACCCTGCATGAATTTAACCCGAATTGTTAGAATTCGGGGTCATCCTCGGTGTAAAAACCTGACGAGTTTTTCTCTGTTTCATGAGGTATTGTTTTGCTGTACGCTATTGTTTTTAATGTTTCGTTGTCTTTGTTGTACGTCACTCGTGAGCTTCACAGGTTTTTACACCGAGGATGAGCCAAAATTCGCGTTAATTTAAGTCGCGTTATTTTTGTTGAGCGTTAATTTCCGCGACGTTAATAAAGTGCAGCGTTAATTTCCGCGCTCTTAATTTCCAGTATTTTAACCCCATTTTTGGAACCTGTCCAGACATTCTTGACACTTAAAAAACATTAACTACAAGCTATCTTTCTTTCCATTTACCCTTTATTTTTCATCTTTCACAAAAGCTAAGGCAAAGGTTTACAATATTTTGAGTTCATCTTCATTGTCGTCACTGTCAGAAGTGATGTCAATATCTTCTCCTTTGATTTCAGCCAAGATAGATTTCGAATTGTCAACATAGTCTTTCTCGACAGAGTATGAGACTTCCTCTGTTCTCTCTTTCAAAATCGCCAGACTTCTCGCATTGCTCCACTGGACAGAAACGACCATTGGTATTTCAAGGCCTCCTTGAATTAGTGGCGATCTTTTTGGCTTCACTGAAATAACTCTTCCTGTAAATTTGGCTCCTTGTTCCAAAGCATACCACACATAACGGCTCAGTTCTTTTGGTACGTGACCAACAACCACATGGCTCAGTTTTGTTCAGTTAAATTTCTTGGTATCCAGTGTTAAAATAAGTTTGTCACCACCAACTGTGTCTTAATCACATTAATTTCCTTTATTCTGAAATTCTATCTCCTCTTTCGCATTAATTTTCTTTATTCAAAACTCGTTTTCCATTAAATTCATGTTCATTTAAAAGTCGCGTTAATTTCCAACACCTTAATTTCATGGAGCGTTAATTTCCTATAATAAGGTATTTCCTAGAGGGGTCGAACCATATGTTACGGAAGCCGAAAAGGGACAATCCAAAAATATTTTTCAAATCCCGAAAAGTATTTCAAATCGCAATATTCATTTTAAACTCACTGTCGAAAAGTTTGACAAATCCAAAGATATTTTGCAAATCCAAAAAAATATTTAGAAATCCAAAAAAATTTTTTCAAAATCCGAAAATATTTTGCGAATCCAAAAAAATATTTTGAAATCCAAAAAAATTTTTTCAAAATCCGAAAATATTTTGCGAATCCAAAAAAATATTTTGAAATCCAAAAAAATTTTTTCAAAATCCGAAAATATTTTGCAAATCCAAAATANGCGCAAATAGCACGTGACAAAATATTTTTTCGGATTTGCAAAATATTTTCGGATTTTGAAAAAATTATTTTGGAAGAAGCTTGGTGCTATCCTGTGTAATATACTTTCGATTATGTCTGATATTGTGCAGATTGTAATATACAGACTGACAGATCTTATTGATATGAGTTGACATTTTTAAGTTACAGTCAAACCAGGCTCCTAAATTATGTCCAGCAGTAGTTTGCACTGATAATGCAATTCAAGACTTTTTATTGGCTTAGTCATTATGGTAAATGAGCCAATGTACCATAATCTACAAATATGGTAAGCGTAGGCGTCAGTTTAAAATTAAAAGGGACCTAAAAAATGTAATAATTAATTTAATGTTTTCATTAAAACAATTATACCACTCGCACTTGTTGGATATGATATGATTATAGCCAACTCAGCGCTACGCGCCTCGTTGGCTATCTATCATCACATATCCAACGTGCGCTCGTGGAATAATTGTTTATTAGAGGTTAGGTAGCTATGTGTAGTCGGTTGGTATTAATGATGTATGTCGATGGCAAGATTTCGGTATAACCACATACTTCTTTGGTATATAGTTAGTTTATAGAAAACAATGGCAAAATCACAAGTTAAGTAGTGTGGGGTTACACAAAAACCTTAAATTTCCTTATTGCTTGATAGTTGATGGTCAGTTCGGGGTTTCTTTTTCACACAGAGCAATCGAATGATTAGCTAAATGCAAGACTTATGAAATGTCTACGAATGTTCTGATAAAATTTATTTAGTAACACACAGCACGTGACTGAACTTATCCCTACTGACAGTGTGGTATCTACCCACCACATGTGCACGATATGATCAGAATGGACTGGACAAAACAATTTGTTTAGGACAACTTTTTTTTGTTGTTGTAAATTACAAAAGAAGTAAGACAGGTTCTGCTTGAAATCCAAATTTCTTTATTTCTATAGTTCTTGAATGTTGAAATTTAAACCTAGTTTTAGTTTTACATTCAAAGCATTCTTTAAAATGGACCATGTTTTGTATATTTGATCAACACACACCCACCATCAAATTACTGCTAATATACCAGGACCAGGTTTGGGGTCTTGTTCTTGTCCGCTCATAGTGCAGGCTGTCAAAATAAAGAGTTTTGAGACAGGTATAATGATGTGTTAATTAAATGTTGATAAAGGATAAAGAGAAGAAAATATAAAAGCTAGACTAACTTTGGTTGAAAATGATACTGACCCAATAGAACAACCCCTCTGGTTCATCACAATCTTACAGCTACGCCTTGACCTTCTGGATAATATGCCATATGGTGAAGATTTCTGGTAATGCATCTTACATAGCTTGTACATGGTCAAAAATAGTAGATACTTATGCTGTCATTTAATTTCTTAGCTTCACCTATTGTTTTGTGATTTGCAGGTCTGCTTTGAAGTTCGTGTGCTTGAAAAACTGCCAGTAACAATGCCAGAAACAGAAACAAAGCCACATGTTGTGAGGGTTGGATGGTCTGTAGATGAGGCAAACCTGCAGGTTAGTACTATTCTTTACCCTTTTCCTTCTAGAAATTACTTTTTGAAATCATCGCTTAAAGCAGAAATACCCATGTATTTTTATTCCAAAACTTGTCATCCCAGCAGAACGTTATAAGTCATTCCGCTTATTATTGTTTTGTATGAATTAAATTCATGTCGTAGTCCTTACTAGCCTGGTGGTTATTTTAGCAACTTCGATATATTGCAGTTGGGTTTGTGAGTACTTGTTTAAGTGCTGAAAGTGGAATTGTAATATGGTTTGGTAAACAAAAGGATTGTTATTTTGGTGTGTTTAGGTCGGAGAAGACAAGCTGTCATACGGTTATGGTGGCACAGGCAAGGTCTCTGTAAACAACAACTTCTTTGACTATGGTGAGCCATACTCTACTAATGACACCATTTGCTGCTGTGTCGACCTCGATGCCAATCCCAAAGTTGTGCTTTTCACCAAAAATGGAAAGGACCTAGGTGTGGCTTTCCGTCTTGGTGCTGAGGCAAGTGAAAAGGCCTTTTTCCCTCATGTCACTGTCAATAACATGCGCCTTACAATCAATTTTGGTCAGCATGAACCATACTTTCCGCCCCTCCAGGGATTCAGCTTCTTGTCAAGGCTGCCACCGCAATGTTTGCAAAGTGGCTCCGCAGGTCCAGTGTCAAGGAGTGATTGTGAAGTTATCATGATGGTGGGCCTTCCAGCCGCCGGTAAAACCGTCTGGGCCGAGAAATACGCCCGCGATCATCCAGAGAAGAAGTTCTGCATCCTTGGGACAAACTCCATCATGGACAAGATGAAAGTTATGGGGTTGATGCGTAAACGAAATTATCACGGACGGTGGGATGCGCTCATTAAACAGGCCACTGATATCCTGAATAAAACATTTAAAATTGCCGAGCGGAAGAATCGCAATTATATCCTGGATCAGACCAATGTGTATTTCAGTGCTCGCAGAAGGAAGATGAATAACTTCCGTGGGTATCGCAGGATTGCGGATGTTGTTGTTAACACAAACGAAGTTTTGAAAGAGCGAGCTTTGAAGAGTGAGCAGGAGGAGGGTAAGGTTGTGCCAGAATCGGCGGTCATGGAGATGAAAGCGAACTTTGTGCTACCTGAAGTCGATGAGATTTTCGAGGATGTGTGGTATATTGAAGAAGACAAAAACAATTCAGAACTCCTTGTAGCCGAGTTTCAATCTGATGGTAAGGCGTTTAAGGAAAATGAGAATAAAAGAAAACCAGAGGAGATTCAATGTCCATCCTCGGATGTCAAGCGATACCGTGCCGTCCAGCAAGGATCCTCTATGCCTTTGCCAAGTGGATCAAGAGGCCAGTACCCAGCTCATAACGACCGTGGAGGCTTCCAGGGGAATTATCATTCGAGAGGGGCCTCCAGCAATGTGCTTGGTCGTGTTTATCCACCGAGGAGCCAAGGAGCACCTGGAAGACCCTCTACAGATTTTGGACCTCCCCTGGGACACACAAAACCAAGAGACCGATACAGAAAGTATCGCGGTGGTCCTCCTCAGGGGTACAGTGAGCATTGGCGTCCCCGTGAACCATACGAACCTGGGCCTCAGAATAGGGGCATTGATTATGGACCTTCTTATAGACAGCAAGAAGGCTACGGGGGTAACTATGGTCACAATCAGGGACCTTCGCATGACTATTCTCCATATCAAACGCCCAGCAATGACGACGCTAGATACAACCAATCAGCGCCTGCATACGGTCAGCATTATGGGCATTATTACGGTAGCCAAAATAGCGTACAACTTAATCCCAGGGATCGTGGATTTTATGGGAGGGGAGGGCAGGTAACCCAGGGAGGAAGAACGGATCAAAATAGTTATGGCGGTGGTTATTAGACTTTCCTGTTACTAAATGTACTTGAAGCACTGCAAACGAAAGCTGCGCGGTGACAGTGTTAATGGTTTATCTTTAATAGAAAAGTTTTAAATTGGATAGTATTTTTTTGGCGAGCCTTACGTAACCGAATAGGGAATTCTTTTTAGATCGACTAGTATTAAGTTTTAAAAGATTTTACTTCTTAGTGGATTTTACGGATCGTTGTGCTACATTTGACTCTGTTTTTCAACCAACAACTTTAACATTTATATTGCGCAAAATACATGTGATATATGATCAAATGCGTGTTTACGTTGCTTACAACTTAATAGAAAAACATTGTAGGTTTTAATCACTAACAAATGTGACAATCACCTGACTCCCAGAAGTGACCAAGGAGTAACTTCTCCTTACGATATCAATACGCTATCGAGCAGACTAGTTATGAGAATATAGAAAAGTATCGACCAACCGATATAGTTTGATTAAAAACATATTTCTTAGAGATACGAGTGTAAGAAATGTATGGTAGATAGATCATGGCAGTGAAGGGGTTAATTCTTACGTACGAATTCCTCTGTTGGAAATTTCCTGTCAAATTCTCGCTGACTATTTGGAGTACCGACTTCAGCTCAATTGCCAAAAAATAGGGACCGTAAGCAGTCAGAACTGCAAAGCTGCGGATGACGTCGATCTAAAAAATTAATTAATTTACATTCTTATTTCCAGCCATTTTCGCAAATGGCTGGACGTATCTATTGTCTTTTACGGCGTTGATTCCTCGTGACCTGCTTACGGAGTGATGTTAAAGGGAGTCTAACTCTTCTTGCTTGCTTGCTTGCTTTGGGAATGACAGCGTCGTGATTGGCATGAATACTTACGTCGCCATTCTCATCGCATTGCTGTCATTCCCATCGCATGGTGTGACCGCATGAAAGCGTGACTTTTTCCAACACAGCGTGACAGCATAACATTCCATGACCGTCATCCCTGAAGCAGGTCACGTCGAATAAGATTCCGACAGATTCGGTCTTCGTGCACTGCCATGTTCGACATCGACCATGTGACCTCAAATACTTGCATCTGGTTGGTTGGGGGATATATTAGTGACTATACTACGTTCGATTTTCTTTTCTTTCCTGTTAACATTTAAAGTCAGAAATATCGATCTCAAAGCGAACTCTTAAACGAGCAGGGTAGCCGGGTCAATTTTATTTTATAAACTAACGTGGTAATTCGTTACAGGTTACAATAAATATTCGTAAGTGTTATGGACTTTTCTTGTTATAAGTTGTTGTAATCGTCATTAAGTGTCGCTGCATCAGAGACACTTTTCTCCAGACGTGGCAAGTGTTCCCCTTTCCGTCTGTCCTTTTCTCGTTTAAATTTAAATAAAGGCTATCGAAAATAAGGATTTTATTTAGCTTGCTATTTCTTCCTTTCAAATAACATGACCCGCGACAATCACTAGCGCTGGCTGATAAGGAACGAAACTCTATGGGCCAACTTTGAAAATACTAATGTGATTGTTACTCAAGGGAGGGATAAAACTCCATGGACAGCAAAGTGCTTGTCTGATTGTCTGATTGTCTGCTTTACTGCTTGTCTCAACTCATCAATCTTCCAGCAGTAAAGGAACGGATTTAAAGTCGAGTTGAAGTAAAGTAAGACAGTTGCTATTTCTCTCGTTATTATTAATTGTAATGAGTATATTTTACTACTAGTGATTACAATTTCCACTATATAAAATGGTACATAACAAACAACTAATGCCGCCTGCACCCACAGTGCACTGTACACTGCCTTTCTGTACCGCATTATTTTCAGCTCACTTAGTTGTCTCAGCTTTTGTTGAGCAGGATTCTGCACTTGATCCTGTTGAAAACAGAGAGTGCAGAAAATCTTTGTGTACGAGGCAAGTGAAATAATCAAGCAAAATGGTGTTCCTATGATCATTCCTAGCAAGAAAGACATACTTCGGTAAGTAGAAAAAGTGAGTAAAGAAGGAACAAGAAATAAAACCCAAAAGGTAGCTGCAATGATATAGGTGCGCTTCAAAATTAAAATTTGTCTGTATCTCAGCCCCAGCAACAGAACGAGAAGTCTGTCCACGCTTATGGCCGTCATCGTCAACAGAGAAACTCCACATAACCCATAGCTTGTTACATAGGCAACGGGATCTAAGTATCGACAAAAACTCCAGTGTTCGTGAACTGCTGACAACAAGGTACCAGCGTAGAGAGGCTGGGCAACAAGACCAACCAACAGATCAGTTGCCGCCAGACAACGATAGAAGAGTTTAGACGGCAGACGAAGGGAAGATTCTTTGTGAAGGGCAACAAGGATAAGAGAATTCCCAAGAAATGCTGTGATGGAGAAGAGAATGTTCACCGCTGAGAGAGGAATGATAAAGAATCTAAGTCCTTCCAAATAGGGGAATGGCAATTCATAAAATGTTTCGTTTTGTGTTCCACCTGGACCAGAATCTGTTGCTGACATATCAGCAGTCGTTTCCTTTCTCTTGTAGGTTATTTGTGATTATATACAGAAAGAAATATTCCGTCTGAACAGCGCCCGCTCAGCTGCGGCCACTACAACCTTACTTTCTTATTAAAAACACTTAAATACTTCCTTTATGACTTTTATTTATTTCAATTGTGGGAGTAAACTATATGTTCTGTCAATAAAATGAATAAGGCGTGAATCAGCAATATAAGGCAAACGAAAGATATCTTTACTGAACTTTTTCATAACGCAACAAGCCGTTCCTCCTGACTGAGATGGACTTTTGTTGACAGAGTAGCGGTTAAGTGTTAATATCAGCAAATTGTGAATTTGAGACTTGAATCATTCTTAGCCTCGGTAAAATGAAAATAAAAACCTCAAGCTTGCGGCATACTTGTTTCTATTGAAAAAAATGTCAGCAGATGTCAACTTATTTTGAATTATTTGAGTTTCGCCTTTTTCCACACACCTTTTCGTCTCTGACCAGAATCAAATAATGAATCAGCAGCAAAACAGAGACAAATTTCAAAAACACTTTCTGCCTTTAATCTCTCTATTTTTTCTCCTTTCGTCAGCGAATTCAAGGTGATTGTCCTGGATAATAACAGGCCAAAATTAGCATATCAAGGTTGGACGAAAGATTCAATTTCTTTTCTTCCAACTTCTTGTCAACAAGGAGACAGGAAAAATATAATCCTAACAAGCAAGCTTTCATGTGAAAGGCAAGTTATTGAATTCTTTTTGTCGCGATTCACTTGAGCGATTAAAGATTCGCCTTTGACACACCAGTTTTTTTTTTTCCAAATACCGAAGTGAGCTCTATAGTGTACTAATCTAGATGGGAAATGAGGGGATCGTTAGGCAAAAAACTATTAATACTCTATGATCTCC